GGCCCGGTGCCCCCCCCCCCCCGCAAGGGCACGGTGGATTCAGAAGACCAGGGTCCGTGCTGGTCAAGGTCCTGAAAGGCCAAGGCATTGTTGTCCTCTTTAGACCTTCTGAGGGGAGGGAACAGGGTCTGTGGGTCTTAAGCACAGAGGCGCCAGGAGTGCTGTCCTTTTCCTTCTCCCTGGAAGAGCAGGGCAGTTTCTTCACTGAGCTGAGCTTGCCTTGGGCTCTCTTCCCTTTTGAGCTCTGGCTAGGGTGTGACTTGGGAAAGCTGGAGCTAAACTGCTTGCTTACTTCCGGAGATATCAGCCCTCCAACTTGTGGTTGCCTGGTTAATGTGGTGGTGGAGAGCAGTAACTGCTGTGTGAACGAACTACTGATCTGTTGCACACCTCAGCTACGGTGTTTTCTCCGGCTCCTCCATCCTTCCCAGTTTTTTCTTTACCTTCTTTTTCTCCTCCTGAGACCTTTACCACGAAGAGAGGAGAGATTGGCGGTGGTTACATTTTTATTACATAAACAGCCCTAGTAAAAGTATTGGGGGAAGAAAATATTGCCGATTTTTCTGGTAAAAGTTTTCCTTGGTGTCTCATCGAGCAGGTGTAGTCAGGAGTCGCGGTACCAAGGCCCAGGGTCTGATCACAGGGACAGACCCACTTTCCCAGCACGCGCTCCTCCCGGAAGTGGAAGCGGAAGTAGTACAGGAGGAGCCTGGCGCATCGCGTTTGTGACGTTACTTCCGGGTACGACACAGGCTTTAGCCTGGCTGCGCTTTAAACCCTTCTTGGGATGTCGCTGTCTGTTTGAGCTGTTCCTGGGGGGGTCCAGGGGGGCCCAGTGCTGGTCCTAGGGCACGGGAGGAGGCCAAGCTGCCGTTCTCTAGCCGCAGCACATCACCTGCAGCCCTCGCTCGCTGCCGAAAGATTCCATCCACTGTGAGTTCCTCACACATTTTTCTCAATGTTTGTTTTTTTGTTTTTTGGTACCAGGGAACGAACTCTGGACCTTGCGCTTGTGAGGCAGGCGGCGGAACCACTGAGCTAAATCCCTGGCCCTTCCTTGCACATCTTTAAGGTTGACATCTAGAAGTTTTCATCCTAAAGTTAGAAGGATGAAAAGGTTCTAATTCCTGGAACAATGTAAATATTGATTGAAAAAATGAAAACATTGTATTATTGTTTAAGGTATAGTGAAAGGAATTTAAACTCTATTGTGATTTGATGGTCCACTTAAAAAATGCAGGAGCACTTCTGTGGTAGTTAAAATTTTACATCATTCCTTTTTCTCCTCTAACTTATACTTCCATTCTACTTCCACACATAGAGTTTTATCCAAATGCAATGTATTTTAAAAGAACTGCCGGTCGTGGTGGTGAATACTGTAATCCCAGCACCCAGGAGACTGAGGCAGGAGGATCCCTGAGAGTTTGAGGCCAGTCTGGGCTACATAGTGAGTTCAAGACCAGCCTGAACTGGATAATGAGACCCTGTCTCAAAAAACCAAAAGAAGAAAAAGAACTGATTATTCTATGATACTTTGCAACAAAAATATGATATTAAGATGTTAAATACATTTCTTGATTGAGTGTATTTTTGTAATGATTATTAACAACTTATCAAAACATGTAAATGTGTTACATTTTACAATATATTATATTTGTTGATAAAATATTTAAAGTAAGGCATCTTTATTAGAAATGTGTTTCTTGCCGGGTATTTAGCTCAGTGGTGCTACTGCCTGTCTCTCAAGCCCAAGGTCCTGAGTTCAATCCCTGGTAAAAACAAACAAACCGAAAAACGTCTTTCTTGATCCCTTGCTAGCACATTAATAGTTCAGTGGAGAATGTAGCCTATTGTTCCAATGACAGGCATTTATTTACTGGAGGGGAGTCTCCTGTTAATCCTGATTTTTAATCAACCCAGCACCTTCTTTGGCCCAGCACCTTGTCACACCTTGGGGGCATCAGAATCAGAAAGGGCAAGAGGTGCCTCCAACTTCTGCCCAGTGGGAGGAGGAAGACAGGAGAGAGGACACTGGGTCCAGCCGCAGGTGACACTGACTGTGGCAGCTGCACTGCAGATGGTGGAGCTCAGTGAGGGACCTGAGAGGCCCCCGACAGGCAGGGAACCCCGGAGAGCAGCTGTGTCTTGGGGTGGCCTGTGTTCCGTGTCCCCAGGGTCCCTATCCAGTGGCCATGTGTGAATGTGTGGACGGCAGGTGCTTTGATGATCCTCAAAGGCAGTGTCCTTCATCTCTGAAAGGTCTTAGGGTTCTGAAAAACCAGGCCAATGTGTAGTGAGACTTGAACTTTGCAAGGTAAGGTAGAGAGAAAATGTAGTATCCCCCACTTAAAATAATTTAAATTAACCCAGTAATGTTTCTCTGGTGATCGGTGCTGTGGTTGACAATTTCTGTGCCCAGCGAAGGGTTGCTTGTGCTGTGAGAATCTGGGCAGCTTCTCTCCAACATTCGGAGCTTTGTTTGGTTCCCCAGAGCCCATCCTCCCGGGCTGGGGAACCAGATCTCTGTGCTCCTCTTTCTGTTCCACTCTGTGTGACTGAACAACAGTGGGAGAGAAGCAATTCTTGTTAGATTTTAAACTTTGGTTAGAGGCTACTGTATTTGAAAGCTGATTTCTCACATCCAGTCACTCGATTCTGCTTTTTTTTTCTGAAAACTGGGGCACACCAGTTGCTCGATGGTGTACATCTACTGGCTGTTTTAATTGGCTTGCGGATTTCCGAACTAGCTGATGAGATTGACACGTCTGGGCCGCCGCTGCCAGTCAGACCACCTGGAAAGGTGCCCGTGCATGCCGGGCGTGTGTAGTGGTCAGCAGCATGGAGAATGGCTCCCCGGAGACCACGTGTGGGTGGAGGCAGTGTTGCTGCGCCCTTGCATTCTCTGGACTGGGTAGACACAGTCCCCTCCGCCCAGCGCCCCATGGTTCACTGAGGCTGCAGCGCCGTGCCTGTTTTTCACACTCTTCCTTTTCCGACTGCAGAGAATCAAACTCTCCCACGTCCATTTCTCTTTTGCTTTTTTCTTTGGAGGATGTATACCATTGTACTACTTAGGACATCTAGAAGGTATATTAGAAGTAATTTTACATTCACAGCAAAATTAGGACAACAGAAAAGAAGTTTTAGAATTTTACAGGATTGTGGAGATTGTGGCTTTTTCGTGCTTACCAAAGTTACACATTTTTTGGCAGTTCGACTAGAAAATAATCTGTTCAGTTTCAGAAACCTGAAGAACTATTTTGCATTGTTTAAACCCAAGCTAAATATATCTGGGAGAAATAAAGAGAAGCTTTAAAAAAATAAGATAGAGAAGGCAAAAAGAAATTCTTTGTGTCTCTTTAAATGAATTTTGGGCCCAAATTGACTGCTGTTTTAATAGCTTTTAGGCTCGCTTTTTGAATGGAGACCACTGATACCAAATAGAAATAGGCTCAGTGTCATTGTAGGGTGAGGCTGGAATCAGACAGCATATGGGCTTTCATGGCTGCAGGGTCTGAACGGAAGTGCTCCCTGCTGGGCCAGGTGGGACTGACTCTAGGCTCAGGTGGGTTGTGTAGGTGATGGGCTCAGTGGCACTGAAGACAGTGCTTCCTGAAGGTTCCCAAGGTGCCCACACTCAGCTCTGCTCCTTTTCCAGAATCTGGCCCTGCCCCGCTTACTGATCTCTTAAAGCCCTGTGCAGGCCCCGCTCAGCCCAAGGGGGCTTCCTGTCTTCTTTCCTTTCGGTTTTTCTGTACTCAGTTCCACCAAGGTTTCTTTTACAGGAACTTGTGACTGGGGCAGGCCTGAGACTCACAGTGCTGTGAGATCGGCCGGCGCCGGCATTAAGAGGCCCTTGGTGACAGGAGGAAGTCACAAACCACAGAAGACTTGAGCTTCTTGAGCTAAGACCTGCCTCGCATGACTAGGAGGAAACGGCGACAGCCGCTTAGAGCCAAGCAACCGAGTACTGACACCTGGGGAAAGTTTTCCTCTGTGTGGAACTCGCTTTCACCTGCGGCCCCTCTGGCGGCTCCGTCACCAGAACCCAGGAGGGGAGTGGGTGGGAGCCAGGCACCACCGGAAGCATTTTAGGGCTTCCGACCTGAGCACTGATGGACTGTATGGGCCGTGCATGTGACATGTCTTCCTTCTGCTTACGTCCCCATCATGAGAGATTTTTAAAAAATAAAAATGAAGTCGTCCCTGGAAGGGCTTCAGGGTCAGTAGTAAGGAAGACAGATATGTTGGGGGTGGGATGCTGATTTGGATTCACGGTAGAATGAACGTTCCTCAGCAACTGGCCAGTGGCTGCCTGATGACAGCACTTTGGCATCAGTTGAATCCTGAGGGTGATTTCTGGTCCACCCTCGGGTTCCAGTGAGGCTCCCAAATCCCTGAGTCCCATCTCCTTGTCCTGGCGGGTCTCAGAGACCTCACGCTGCCTGTGAGCTCGGTGCAGGTGCAGGTGACTGGGAACCTGTGGGACCCTGGGGGGCGAGCGGCCTTTTCCAAACCCTCTGTGTCACGTCATCGTCTGGGCGCCAGCTTCCCTGTCGGCGGTCTCTGTCCTCGACCCCTGCCCATGACCCCTCCTTTGGAGCTGTGACCCCTCTGCCCGTCTACCACCTTCCCTGCTTCTGCTGCCCGGCCCCAGGCTGACTTTCCTGCTCAGCAGTGCCTGTTGGCCTTTGTCTGTCCGGCCCCAGTCGGGTGCGTTGGACAGCGCCGTGTCAGATGTGGCCCCATCACCAGGGCTGGGCTCAAGGGGCAATGGTGACCCAGAAAGACAGAAAGAGCAGTTTGAACCCAGCAGTGTCTCCAGCCATAAGTATTTGGCAGGAGGGCCACAGCTGAGAACGGAGGGCCACCAAGTGCCCTTGAGCACTTGCTGTGGGAGGGAGCAGATGGGGGACCCAGTACCCCGCTCAAGCCATAGCAAGAGGTGCCACAGTCCGCCGGGGGTGGGGAGGGTTGTGGGAATCGATGAACCACAAGGCAAGTGCCAGCAGGGCACCTGAGGAGAGAGCCCAGGGCAGGAAGTCTCCTGAGAAGGGGCCTACTGTAGGTTGGATCTGCTGCTGGCTTTTGCTTTGTTTTGTTTTGGCTTGAAATCACTTCGATTCTCCTGCCTCAGCCTCCTGAGTGCTGGGATTACAGTTGTGCATCACCACACCGATTTAAAAATGAACACCTCATGGAGGACGAAATGGGGGAAAGCAGGAAGATGGCAGTTGGGGCAGAGGCGGCAAAGGATGGGAGAAGAGGAAGCCCTGGGAAGGTTTCCAGGAGCAGTGAAGTTGGAGCCGATTGAGCCAGTGACAGCGGGTGCAGCAGTTAAGGGGCCCTGACAACCCACCCAGGAACCCGAGGCGCATCCTATGCCAGTGATGAGCCACGGTGGCTTCCGATCAGGGCAGGGAGTGTGCAGAGCGGAGTTGTAGGGTGAGCAGTGGAGCCATGATGTACAGAACCCACATCTGGGATAGCCCGGGCTTTGAGTTCCTCTCCCACAGGCCCCCAGGTGGCATCTGACCGGCATCCAGATGGGCACAGGCCCTGCAGTCTTGCTCCCTGGACGCAGGAGTGCTCTCGCTAGCTTCTCTAGGTCCCTGGAACGGCGACATTGTGTCGTCTGTGGCGGGTGGCCGGGTCCACCTTCGGCACTGCCCTGCAGCCTCAAGCTCCGGGAAAAACCCCTGGCCCGACTGCTGGCCCTGCTGCGGTAAGAAGACCCTTCGGAGGGCTGTGGGAGGGGACACTGACCACACGGAGGCGCAGGTGTTTCCTCTGCCTCACCTGCGCCTGCTGCCGGTGTCTCCCAGGCCCGAAGTCTGAGGCCTCCCTGGCTGGTGGCTGAGGTTGCAGACTGACCGAGGGGAGGAGGCACAGGGACCAGGTCCTCTGATCTTTCTGGCTGGTGAAAGTTGGGGCGTGGGGCACGGATGTGTGGTGCTTCATCTACTTCGGAGGGAGGAAGGGGAGTTTGTGTCTACCTGGGTGACATCTGGGATGTGGAACATGAGGGAAGTCCTGCAGCCCTTCATCCCTTCATCCTCATTTCTGTTCATCGTGCACCATTTCTGCATTGGCCTGCACACCTGCACTTTGCAATTGAACAGCCAGTTAGACCCATGTAACCCCTCGCATCTGCTGGCTTCCCCCCAGCCCCTGCCCAGCCCCGCCCTCCTGGCCAGGCCTAGTCCCTGGCTGTTAGGTTAACTTGCAGTCTCTGAGCCCTGGCAATGGGTGGCTCTCTGATTAGGGAATTGATTACGCAGAGCTGCTTTCCGCTGCCCCAGATATGTGGTTGTGCGCCTCGCTCTGTGTGGCTGTCGCCTCTGCTGAGTTCCTTACCTGTGACTCTCAGCGGCTTAGTGTCTTGACCATCCCCGCCCATCCTCTTCACGGTCTTTCTGCTGTGTGGGAGCAGCCGCTGATCAAGTCCCCCGGACTCTGGAGGTTTCCATTGTCACTTGAGGCTGGTGGTGGGGTGGAGGTGACGAATGAAAACTCCTGTCCCAAATGGGGGCCGGGGCTGGGAGGTTCTGGGTTCAGATCTTGAGTTCTGTGACTGCTGCTCTGGCTTCAGTGCCCTCCTCCGAAAGACCTGGAGGGCAGCAGCATGTACCCCGGCTGTGGTGTGGATGGAGCTCTGTGATCTGTGATCAGGCGTCCAGCTGCTTTCTAATGCACCTCACGCCCCTACTCTCCTGGATTCCTGACAGTGCTGCAGGCCGTCCCTCTCTGGCACTGAACGGTCATCCCGACATTGGCTGGAGATCTCTGTGGGCTTGATCCTGTGGAGCACAGGAATCCTGGGGAGCTCTGGAATTCTGAGGACCCAGCCGGAGGTCGCCCTTGCGTCTAGGTGGACACAGGAATCCGGACTTCCTGAAGGTGCCAGCACTGCTGTGGCAGGGTTCAGGCCTGGGTTACAGTTACTGTGCAGTGGAGCCCAGCCTATGAACCCAGCTTCCCCGCATCGATTTCAGACACCCTCTTCACTTCCGGAAGTGAAGTTACAGATGGTAGAGCTCACAATATCTAAACAGACAAACACAAGCTGCTAATGGTAACACAAAGGAGCAATAATGTGAAAATGATTTATAATAAACAGCATTTATTTCAATATGTATGCATCCACATTGGAGACATGAGATAGTTGTAGTTTTGGTCTTAGATCAGTTTGGAGTGAAGAGCTATCCCATCAAATAGTATTAGCGCTCCCTATCTAAAGGGGCTGAGCTGCAGGTCAGGCTTAGGGCGTGTGTTTAGCATACGGGAGGCCATGGGTTTGATCTCTAGCTCCACAGGGAAAGGGCTGGAGAGCTTTTTCATGTAGGCTGTAGAGAACACGGTGACCATGAATGTCGGGTATGTTTACAGGTGACGCATCACGAGTAACATTCCTGGCACAGTCGTGATTTTTAGAGAAGGCAAAGGAAAATCTTGGTTAAGGTCCAAGCGAGAGAGTTATCATTCCCTCAGTTACAGGGTAATCAGACTCCCAGTAAATGCTGTGCCTTTGGAGATGCAGAGGTAAGAGTGAGACCCAGGCAGACTTCTTCCGGGCACTGTGGAAGCCACGTGGGACACGAGCTGGTGCCAACTGCAGTGGCCTTTGGGCATCACAGGGCTCTGGCTTTCTCGCTGTGTCCCCAGTACTGGTCAGCTTGCAATGCCCTCGAGGACAAGCAGCCCCTCCCCGGCTCCCCCAGGGCAGAGAGGTTCCTGAGTGGTTGTCACAGAGCCATGGTGTTCTGAAAGCGAGAGGACCCATGGCCAGACTTGAACACCGAGATAAACGGCATGGGTGCCCTACCCTTGTGGCCTTTGCTCCAAACAGAGTTGGCTTCTGCTCTTTGTCACATTGCAAAAAGCAGTGACACTTAACACTGGGGAGGGGACTTGTGCAGGGTGGGTCCCTAGGGTCAGGCAGGACGCAGGACAGGCAGAGGAGGAGGTGGAAAAGGTCTCCCCCTGCCCTGGTGAGTGTCATCTGCAGTACTGGGGTCCTGTACGGCCATCATAAAGGTGAGTCATGGCGCAGGGGTAGCAGGGAGAGGCTCCCGAAGAGCTGGCCTGGGTGGCCATGTGGTGACCACAGGCCCAGTTGGCCCAGTCCTTGCCAGCATGGGATCTGGGTGGTACCTCCGTCCGCATAGGCCTGGTGCCTGTCCTTGAGAACCTCAAGGAGATGGGCGCAGCTTTCTTTCCCAGGTTATAGATGAGGAGACGGGTGGAAAATGTGTACCTGCTCCCCTATTAGAAGCACTTAGCTAGTGTCTCAGGATAGGAGCCCAGGCCTTCCCGATGCCAGGTCCCTTACTATGTCCACAGGGGCTGGACAACTGTCATCCACGCATCCTCCATCCGCCACCCACCCATCCTCCATCCACCCACCCATCCTCCACCTATTCTTCCACCCACTCACTCACTCTCTCACTCTCTCACAGCTGTTCCACAGTGCTGGATACTCTGTGCTGCTGGCAGCCAGGCCCTCAACGCCTGACCCTGTTGTGCTGTTGCTCTGTGCTTGTCTGAGTAGCCAGAGGCAATCAGCACAGAGAGGTGGGAAAATCAGAGCTCTTGCACACACACCTTTTTATCAGTGGAGCAGTTTAAGGAATTACTTTTAAAACCCTCGCTGTGCTCACACAAGCTGCTGGTTTGGTGATAAGATTTTCCTCCTAGGTTACTGCTGGCATGGACCAGAACCCTCAGAAAGGGAGCTTGGGGTTTCGGGTGTCCCCTCCCGTGGTGCCCGGCTGCTGGCCCATGCACTTGCCGGGGAGGCGGCCACAAGGCTGTGAGGTGGCCATAGGCTTGTCCCACTCCTAGTCTTGCTCACTCTGATGGATGAGGTAAATCCAGCACAAACCCCGGTCTTAGTGGGATCGTTGCATCTTTTTGAGGCCAGTGCCATTCCAGGTGAGGGAGGCTGGATTGAGGTCCTGGGGTCGCTGGTGGGTTTGTCTGCACCCAGGAGCACCTTGGGGCCCTGTGCCTGCCCCACCCCAGCGCTGCACATTGATGGGCTCTAAAAGCGCGCAGCCCCTTCTTGCAAGAAAGTGCCAGTGGTCTCTCCTCTGACCTCGGCCGCAGGGTCTCTTCCCTGTGTTCCTCATCGGTCTGCTGCGATGCTCCCCGCTTTCGGGCCTGGTTCATGACCAAGCTTGGGCCTCAGGCTTCTGAGCTCCTAAAAGGCCTAAAGCCCAGAGGAAGTTTTAAAAAGTTAGTTTTTACTGGTTCCTCATATAAAAGTACAAAATCTAAGTGAATGTAAAATTTCCCCCATTAAGGTTATTGGTGCATTTAAGGCAAACAGTACAGTGACAGCCATCATTGGGATCCTGTACCTTTACCTGACCCATCTTGGTTCTTATTTGTTCCCCATTCCCCACCCTCCCTTCACCCCCTCCACCCTTCCCTATTTACAAAGACTTTGTTTCCATTTTTTCCTTCATATTTTTTCTTTCCAAGTTAGGTAAATTCAACCAAATCCGGTCGGTGAGCCGCGATGTCTGACCGCTCTCCCTAGACGGGTACTTACAGTCCAGTCAGCGGTTCGTTCCTCTGCCTGGGGGGCGCTGTCGGAGCTCCCTGAGCTGCTGCGTCTCCAGCCCCACTTCCTGCCTCGCTCCGGGCCACACTGGTGCCTGCTTGGTGCCCGCCAGGCGGACCCAGCGTCTCAGCGGCTTCTCCCCAGTCCCACTCGCCCCAACTTGCTCAGCAGGGCAGGGTCCGCCTCCCGGGCCTAGGGGACTCGGGACTCACCGAGGGCTCTGCTTCCGCTGCCTGCAGTCCGCAGGGTCCCTCTGTATTCTCCTCCCTCCCCTACCCCCTTCTCTTTCTCCTCTTGGGATTGAACTAATAGTGCCTTTGCCCCGAGCTTCATAACCTGCCTTTTAAAATTTTTTAATTTTGGTAATTTTTTTTTTTTCGGAGATAGGATCTTGCTGAATTGCTCAGGCTGTGCTTGGCTATGCAGTCCTCCTGGCTCAGCCTCCCACAGGCCTGTGCCGCCACACCCGCTTAGTCTTCTACTCTGAACTTCCTGGGCTTCCACCTCCTCCCCACTCCCTAAGTGCCTGCGGCTGCCTCTGTCTCCCTTCGAAGTGCTCCTGGCTGCTGGTCGCTGTTGCTCACTCTTCCTTCTCCCTCAGACCCTGCGAGCTGGGAGTCTCTCATCCCACGTCCAGACGTCTGCTCGAGGGCCTTGGCGTCCGCTGTCTGCGGCAGTCTAGCACAGGGCTTGTGCCTTGGGCAGGTGTTGTGCCCCATGTAGTTCCCAGCTCTGTCCCCACCCCACCCAGCCCTGCTCCTTCTGAGCTTCTGGGCTTCACGTTGGAGCATCCACACCTGTCACCATGGCGGCAGGCATGGGGCTGGGGCCATCAGGAGTCCCCAGGTGTGTGGGAAAGTCTTCTGACTCCCGCGGCACCAGCACTGGCCCTTGTTCCCGGAGCCTCCCTGCCTGCCAAGCGCCTGCAGGCTCTTGGGTCCCACTGACAGTGCGGCTCTTCCCTCGAGGCTGCTCGGCTCCCCAGGGTGCTGTCCGCAGGGGCCACGTGGGTGTCCTCCACCTCTACCAGACCGCGAGGGGACAGTTAGGCTCCAGGTTGATTCCTCCTCTTTGTTTCGCTCCTTCTCTCAGCTGTTTTCTTTCTGACCTGTGCTCCTTCCTTACTACAGCTTGGCCGCCTTCCATGGTGCCAGGCATCTGCGGTTCCTCGAGGCACTGGGATGAATGCAAATAGATCTTGGCCAGCTCTGCTGTCCAGGTGCCACGGTGCCACAGTGCAGTCGTGGCTCCTGTTTCCATGGCAACAGCCCTCTGCCTGGGAGCCACCAGGCTGATGCTGCATCTCCATCTTCAAACTTTCCCTGCTTTGCTGCTTGCAAAAGACCGTTTCCCCTGGGAACAGGACAGGGGTAAAATACAACTGTGCTGGTGTTTAAAAATCTGAGGCATATAGAATATACACAGGCCGGCACACATAATAAGCACACGTCTGTACGGACACACCCACTTAAATAGCACCCACATTAAAAAATGCCACACCAAAGCACCCCAGAGCTCAATGGCTTTTCATGGAAATGTTGGATTTTCTCCCAATACATTTCTTATTTTATCTGAGACTCACATTTCTTCCCCACAGTGGCTTCATCTAAGATTCTGTGAGATGGGCCGGGCATGGTGGCGCACTCCTGTAATCCCAGCACTTGGGAGGCTGAGGCAGGAGGTTCCAGATCAGCCTGGGTTATATAGTGAGTTCCAGGTCAGTCTCAACTACATAGTGAGACCCTGTCTCAACACCCCCCCCAAAAAAAGATTCTGTGAGATGGGCCCTGAATTCACACAGCTCTAACCTCCACACAGGTTAGAGAGGCAGCTGAGAGCAACCCTACTTAATAACTAGGGAGCCCCACTTCCCCAGGCCCAACAGGTTCCCTGCTCTGTCCCACCCAGGCGGGGCCCTCAAGCCCCTGTGAGACAGCGGCCTGCACTCAGACTGCTTCTTACCCAGCCCCCTCTTGCTTACATTACTGCTCCTCGAGTATCACTTCATGCAGGTGGGGTTTTCAGAGCGAGCCCTGTCTCTTGTCATTCATACAGTCTGAGTCTCAGTGCCGTTGTCTAGAAAATAGGAATACAGCCAAGCATGGTAGCACGTGCCTGTAACCCCAGCACTCCAGGAGACTAAATGCTATGGCTTGTGTCTAGGTGTCCCCGCAAAGCCTCATGAGCTTATGGTGGAGTTTTTTGGAGGTGACTGGACCACAGGTGTATATTGGGATTAAGGGTGTGATAACTACATCAGTCTTGTGATTGGTTTAGCATAGTTCTGGATGTGGATGATGAAAGTCCCACCCACCAATAGGCTTGTCGCTTGGGTGGAACATAAAGAGAGAGATGGAAGGTAGGCTCGCTGCTTCCTGCCTTCCCTGCCGTGGACTGTTTCTCCTCTGCGATGCCCTCTGCCATGCAGCCCCGCCTTGGAGGCAGCTGACTATGGACTGAAACCTCTACACACTGTGCACTACAATAATCCTTTTCTCCTGTAACTTGTAGATGTCTGGTTTTGTGTCTCAGTGACAAGAAAGGTAA